ACATTTTAGATTAAAGTAAAATTACTTAACATAAAGTCTACCATGCATGCTGTAGGGTAAGAGTAAAAAAATGTTTTTTATTCTTTAAACCTTTTTTTAAGTGAGACAAATCTAGTGTTTGTAGGCCAATTCTGACATAATTTTTATAAATCAATTCATACATATTTTTGAAAAAACTTTTATGTTTTTTAAGCCTTCCTGCGTAGTTAGCGGAAGTGGATATATCTGGTTTAGAGAAGTAGATGCTTATATTGGAATCCTTTATTTACAATTATTCTTTTCTTTTTGTTTAGAAAACAAACAAACATGTTTATTGTTTACTCACATCATAAGTTACAATTAGGACCACATGTAATCATGTACAGTGTATACACAGTACACTGTTATAAATGTATACATGTACTTTTAAGTAAGTTTAAGAAGAATAAAATGACTGTCCCATGTTTTTCAATTTTTCAATGGGGGTGGGGGGGCCTTACTTTTTTTTAACTTTACAAGGGGGGGGGGGGTTCAGCCCACGCTGAATACCCCATGTAAAAACCATAATCTGAATAAATTTGAATAAAAAGTAAAAAATTTTAAAAGTTTTAATAATGAAATTATTTGCTCTGTTTCCGTTCGCGAGGTAGCTTTCTTTTTAGCTTTTATTCAGCTATAATAAGGTTTATTTCAATTTAATTAATTTACTTTCCATCATTCCATGATATTTTTGTAAAACTCACGGGGGGATTTGTTTTGTCCATGGATGGATTAGTTAATATAAGGTATATTCAGATTTTCATTTACACAGGCGACATTTTCTTTTAGATTGAGAATGAGATTGCGCGTAATAAAGCTTGAAGCTTAATTAATGAAACATAGTTTAAAGTACAATGCTATATTATAATAAACCGGAATAATAATTATTGATTGCATATTTTAAATAAACCGGAATAATAATTATTGATTGAATATTTTAAATTCGTCTTTGACCTTAAAAAAAAGAATGTATTTTTAAAATGAAAGGACTATGGCTATTCTGAGATAACTTTTTCATAAAAAATATGTCTTAAGATTAGGCTGCTAAATGAAGAATACCGCAAACTATTTCTAAGATAAAAGACGACTTTCAAGTCGTCAATCAATTAATATTTTTCCGGCTATTTAGAGCAGCAACATACATAGTTGCAGATTTTAGTGATTTTTAAGCGAAAATGTTTTATTTTTTTATACAATAATTTCTTATCAATTTCACGATTTCATAAGTTAGGTAGGTTACATTGATTTGTGCTAAATACACCATGCATAGCAAATCAATAAAGTGGAAAAGAGTGCTGTGTGCTTTGGATACTATCATAGTTTTGGTTCTTTTCACCGATCCATGTTTCCAACTTTGTTTCAAGGTTTGCGTTTTATTATTGATTATACTTTCATTAATCTTTATTGAAAGGGAGTGTTCGCGAAAAATGAAAGGGTGTATAGGCTTTATGCGATAAAAAAGCGGCTAATCTTAAAATTAAGATTAGTAGCGATCAAAAGCGCTTTTTTCTTGCACTAAGCTTATACCCCCTTTCATTTTTCGCGAACACTCCCTTTAACAAAATAATTTCTACAACATTATAAATAAAAAGGACTGATTTGGCAGAATAGAGCTGGGGGAGGGGGTCCTTGGAGGGATAGGGGAGGTAATAAATAAAAAGGACTGATTTGGCGGAATAGAGCTATGGGGGGGGGGTCCTTGAAGGGGATAGGGGAGTTAATAACAATTCAGGCTTTTTTATAATTGTAAAATAATAAGAAAAAATACAGTCTCAGTCTCTTATATATAAAAGAATATATATTTTAAAGGGATTCTTAGAACAGTTTCTCGTTAAAGTAACTAAATACTCGCCACAAATTCTAATTTCTAAATTCACACATATTTGCAACTTGATGGTGCAAAATTTCAAACATCGACTATTTGATCTAGCAGAATTCCAAATCTAAAATAAATAATATTTACGATTTCAGAAATGGCTAAGATAACAGGCTGGGAAATTTAGAATTTGTGGCAAGTGGTTGATTTATTCCAAATTAATTGTACAATTGAAACTTCATTAGGAACAAAGGAGAAGGGATATAAGAGGTCTGTTTGAATTAATGGTTTATAAAGTGGTGTCAGTATGTTAATCATTAAGCACTCTACATTTCCCCTTCCTTCAAGCTTTCCCTAATATCAACCAGAGGACACTGATTTGCAGAAGAAATATATTTATACCTTGGTAGACCAGTAGCGGTGTGTAGTAGTTAGTAGTAATATTATAGTAGGTTCATAACTTCATAGCAGGATAGTGTATTAGTTAGTAGTAATATTACAGTAGGTTCATAACTTCATAGCAGGATAGTGTAGTAGTTAGTTGTAATATTATAGTAGGTTCATAACTTCATAGCAGGTTAGTGTAGTAGTTGTAATATTACATTAGGTTCATAACTTCATAGCAGGATAGTGTATTAGTTAGGAGTAATATTATAGTAGGTTCATAACTTCATAGCAGGTTAGTGTTATAGTTAGTAGTAATATTATAGTAGGTTCATAACTTCATAGCAGGATATTGTAGTAGTTAATTGTAATATTATAGTAGGTTCATAACTTCATAGCAGGATAGTGTAGTAGTTAATAGTAATATTATAGTAGGTTCATAACTACATAGCAGGATAGTGTAGTAGTTAATAGTAATATTATTGTAGGATAGTTAAGTAATTTGTAGAAATGTTATAGTTGGTTTATGTAGTAGAATAGTGTAGGGTGTAGCAGTAAGTAGTAATATTAGAAAATACAATTTCTAGAGTATCTAAAAAAATGTTGCACATCAAGAAGATGTCCTCTTTTTTATTTGTATATTACATATACGACTAAAAGACATTTGTTATATTTAACCATAAGTTCTGCCATAGATCAAGTGATTTAAGTTTAATTTATCAAAGGTTTAGAGCATCAGGTTTTGAATTAAGCAAAACTATGAAGATTAGAAAATTATAGATTGATTACATCCTTTTAACAGGTTTTAATGTACGACATTTCCAAATGAACGGTAGGGGGGGAGGGGCAACGGTATGTGCAAAAATATATTTATTTATGCAACTGCCTTGTGTTATTATGCTGGACATTATGTTTGTTTGCCGGGATTTTTACCTTTTTTTGGTTTGTTTAAAAACCAAAAAAGTAAAAATCCCAACAAAAAACATATTGCCTCATATGATAACACAAGGTGGTTGGATATATAAATTTATTCAATGCAATCGGATTGAAAATGTTCGAATATTTTTTACTAAAATCCGTGAAATATGAAAAGAGTAAGGTATAAAATGTTATTTAATTCGGAACAAATTAGAAACTTTTTATACCTGGGACTATGAAATTGCGAGTAATAATGCGGGATACAAATTCTCCCAAAATGGAATAAAAAATCTTCTTGATTTAAATTGATTATATTTTCTATTTGCGCAAAATGTATGATTATTGGTCCACGCTGTAAATATACTAGGAGAGTATAAAACTATTCAATAATTCACAACTCAATGCGCAAACTTCTGATGCGAAAAAGAAAGTTTAATCGAGTATATTTAGTTTGAAATATTTGTATAGGTTTGCAATCAATAAACCCCAAAAATACAAACAAATGGGGTATTTATTCGTCGTACTGCGTTAACTGACTTTATATTCCTTCAATAAAATACAATTGAATTTTAAACCGGAAAATAAAGAGAACAGTTTCCCAGATATGCAAACCGTTATTAACAATCAAAGCTTAATTGACTTCACTTTAATCTACAAAACCATTTTCAACTATAAACTGTGGCTCTATTTGTGAGCTTTTTCAACTTTAAACTGTGGCTCTATTTGTGAGCTTTATCAACTTTAAACTGTGGCTCTATTTGTGAGCATTTTCAACTTTAAACTGCGGCTCTATTTGTAACCATTTTCAACTTTAAACTGTGGCCTTATTTATGACCATTTTCTCTTCGTTTACCATTACCATTACCATTACAAAAAAGTTCGCAGATGTCATCATATTTTTTCATGGATTTTCAAAATTTAACGAAAATATTTTTTTGGAGACAACTTTTTGTAATTCTGATTTCTGATCTGAGCATCCATAAACCTGCCTTAGGGTTATGTCAGGTCCCACACAAAACGTGGGCCCGATAGCTTTGGCAGTTGGACGTTTATTGGATACAAGCAAAGTATATATATATAGAAGACAAAGTACATAGATTAAAAATATTTAAATTTTACTCGATCTTGCTTTTCGTAGACTATTTTAAAACATAGGTTTAAATATTTTTTTATACGGAAAATTACAGCAGTACAAAAAAACCGGTTTTTGTTGGTGTCTATAATCTAATGAAGCTGCAAATCGAAATGTGATTTATTGTTTATTTAAAATAAAAATGATTAAAATACAAAAAAAATTTCTTTTCAACTAAACACTTCTCTTTTAATTATCCTTAACATATGGGCTTTCGACAGATTTAAGTTAATTTAGAATTATGGTTTCTAAAAATGAAAAATGAAACAGAGATGAAAACTCATAAAAATCAACCCTATTTAGATAACTAAGAACGGTGCTGTTAGGTTTTGAAACTGTTAAATAAAGTTTTTAGCTGTCAATAACTTGAAATTCCGTTTACAGTCCTATTAAAGGTATAATATCTAATGAGACTGTAAGCGTACTTCCGCTTACAGTCCTTGCTGGATAAATATCTAATGTGACTTTCAAGTGACCCTCCAATCTCCATGTAAAGATGGCAATGCCCGATTCACAAAGGTACCATTGTAACGCTTATCCGATCAGAAACCACAATTGAAAATGATTAGTTTTCAAAATTGTAAACATTGATGTCTTATTCCTAATTGATCATACAAAACTGCTAATAGTACCTTGGAGAATCGGGTATTGCCATCTGTGCTTGGAGGGTGACTTGAAATTATGCTTACAGTCCCTTTAACTCCTGCTTTGCTAACCTCTCTATTATTTCAGATGTATGAGTTGAGTATTTGTCCTACAGACTCTTAAACCATTAACAAATATCAATCCTAAGATGAGTGCATGTCTAAACCAGACTTAGAACCCCAAAAAATCGAAAAAAAATTCTCACCGATAAAATTAGACACAGTTTTAGTCTTAATCCTCAACAGAACCTTTGTTTTACCAACACCAAAACAAGAACCAGAACCAGAACCAAAATCAGAACTCTAAGAACCCCTGTATAGTGACCCCTCTGTAACCCCGGATTACGAAAGTTGTTTAAAAATCCTTTATGAAAATAATGAAGCTGTCTGTAGATCAAAACTTCAGCATGATATAAAAGGTAATGTTTTTGTTATGAAACTGATTTAAACAAAAACAGTCCTTTATAAACCGGCTTTTTATTTTAACGATTCGGTTTCTATTTTTATATTTTAAATTCCAGTTTCGATCGATGGAGAGGTCTTTTGTAGCATAAATTGAGGAAATTGTGACACTTTCAAGTTTGCCATTTTGGCTGGGTTGAGTTACGCACATTTTGAAAATGTTAAGCAGATTTTAAAAATGAAATGAAAATGTAAAATTCGAACCTTTTGATGACATTTGTATCATTTTTTAAGGCAATTTGTAACAAAGTTTAGTTTTCTAAAGTTGGACATGAGTTGAAAATTTATGAACACGGTTGAGATTGAACCTAGTTCAACTTCTGTATGGTTCAAGCTTAAAAGTAATATTATTAAAGTCTTTTAATTCTACAATTTCTGTGTCGATATAAAGAGCAAGTATATCGTGAGTTGAACCAAATGTGATTGCTGGACTACTTATTAATCACTCATAAAGTTTCATCTCCGGCGATTAAATTATATTTACATTTGACTAATCGTCAGATCTTTGATCTTTGAATTTCCTTAAATCCTAATTTGTTTATCCACTTAAAACTATTTTTTATTCTATGTTCAGGATAAGGATGGATTTGTATGGTTTTGAGTTTACATGAGGAGTATCCTTGATGTTTAGAGTTTAGAGTCAGGTTCAAGGGTTCTCCAGGTTCTACATATAGTACTACAGGGCTGGCTGGTATACCTGAAGGGGTTCGGGTTGAGGAGGAGAAGCTAGGTGGACAGGGGAATAGAATTAACCGAGGTCTTGCAGGGAATGAGTGTATCAAGGAGGTAAGATAACTTTCAGATACACTAAGTCCCGGAAAACAGTGTAATAGGAACAATTAAACAATCTTTTTTGTTTTTGAAATTGCTTTCAGTAAAAAGTTTTACCAGGATTACTGTATTTAAGTTCATTAGACTATATATCATAACTTAAGTCTAATATTCGTTTTCCTATTCCACAGCTTTATCGGTACCACTAAAGTAATTTTTATTACTTTAATCATGCATTTTATCAAGTGGTTAAGTTTTAAAACAAATCAACATTTAGAATCATAAAAGTAAGTTTTATTTGGCCGATGTTTAGTAATTATGCAGGTTTAATATGAACGATGTAAAAGGATTTTATAAGATTTAAAGAGTTGTGTCGTTCAGTCCAATGCATATGGTGCAATTTGAGTGGAGATGTATTTATAGGGTTTAGTAAAAGTATTTTTAGGGTTCTCTAGATTTAGAATAAGTGTATCTAAGGTTGTGTAGGTTTAGTGAAAGTATATCTAAGGTTGTGTAGGTTAAGTAAAAGTGTATCTAAGGTTGTGTAGGTTTAGTAAAAGTATATCTAAGGTTGTGTATGTTTAGTCAAAATTTATCTAGGGTTGTGTACGTTTAATAAAAGTATATCTAAGGTTGTGTAGGTTTAATAAAGTATGTCTAAGGTTGTGTAGGTTTTGTAAAAGTATATCTAGAGTTGTCTAGGCTTAGTAAAAGTACATCTAGGGTTGTGCAGGTTTAAAAAAGTGTATCTAAGGTTGTGTAAGTTTTTTTAAAGTATATTTTTAAGGTTGTTTAGGTTAGTAAAAGTATATCAAGAGTTGTGTAGGTTAGTAAAAGTATATCTAGGGTCATTTAGGTGTAGTAAAAGTATATCTAGGGTTGTGTAGGTTTATTAAAAGTATATCTAGGGTTGTGTAGGTTTAGTAAAAGTATATCTAGGGTTGTGTAGGTTTAGTAAAAGTGGATCTAAGGTTCTGTTTGTTCAGTAAAAGTATATTTTTAAGGTTGTGCAGGCTAGTAAAAGTATTTCTAGAGTTGTGTAGGTTTAGTAGAAGTATATCTAGGGTTGTGTAGGTTTAGTAAAAGTATATCTAGGGTTGTATAGGTTTAGTATAAGTGTATCTAAGAATGTGTAGGCTTAGTAAAAGTACATCTAAGGTTGTGAAGGTTTAAAAAAAGTGGATCTAAGGTTGTATTGGTTTAGTAAAAGTGTATTTTTAAGGTTGTGTAGGTTAGTAAAAGTATATCTAGGGTTGTGTAGGTTTTGTAAAATTATATCTAGGGCTGTGTAGATTTAGTAAAAGTATATCTATAGAGTTGTCTAGGTTTAGTAAAAGTATATCTAGGGTTGTTTAGGCTTAGTAAAAGTATATCTGGGACTGTGTAGATTTAGTAAAAGTGTATCTAGAGTTGTGTAGGTTTAGTAAAAGTATAGGTTTGGAGTTATGTAGGTAAATAGAGTGTTTGTTTGCTAAAGCAAGATTTTCTGAAATCTCTCCTCATGTATTTTCTATTTTCTTGTTTCTTCCTTGTTTCATGTTTAAAAAAAAAATCCTCCAGCAGGTCTTGTATGAGAAGAAATGTATGTTTTCAGAATTCTAAACTTTCATTCATTATTTTTAACCACGCCTTCTCCTCTACCCCCTTCCCCCTTACACATCCTTCACTTATTCCGCTCCTTCCCTCCTTTACACATCCCCCCCTCCTCACTTATCCTCACCTACACCTCCCCCTTGCTCACTTATCCTCCCCCCTCTTGCTCACTTATCCTTACCCACACCTCCCCCCTTGCTCACTTAGCCTCACCCACACCTCCCCCCCTTCCTCACTTATCCTCACCCACACCTTCCCCCCTTCCTCACTTATCCTCAGCCACACCTCCCCTGCTGTTACAGATATTTTTCTTTTCTTTTACCAGGTTCCAGCCATTGAATTCTCACTCAGAGCTTCCATACGTACTTGGATATACTAGTCTTTCAACATATTTATCAAAACAGTCTTTCTGCTCAGTAAGTGAAGGATAAACAAGTACAGGGATATCTTAAACCTTTCACATAACTCAAATATAAACCATAATTAGATTATTTTATTTAATATTAAATTGTAGTTAGTTTAGGAAAAATATTATAGTTATGAATATAATTAGGTTTAGCTTCAGCTGCAACAACGATGATATGGGTAAGCGAGTTCCAAGATGATATTGCAAGAAAACCTTTCGCAATATCAACACCAAATTCCTCTTATTAGCTGGATATTTTAGTTTTGATAATCACGTTACCCTCTGCCTTTAAAGGGTTGAAAAGGAAATAATAATAAGATTATTTTAGAACTATAATGGGCGTCTCTGTGGTTTAATGACTGATTTAGTTCAGGGTTACCCAGACGATTGTACGGAATTTTATACCTCCCAATCATAGTTCCCTCCAGATGTAAACTTGGTTTATACCTCCCAATGATAGTTCCCTGCAGCTGTAAACTTTTTTTATACCTCCCAATCATAGTTCCCTGCAGATGTAAACTTGTATTATACCTCCCAATCATAGTTCCCTTCAGCTGTAAACTTGTTTTATACCTCCCAATCATAGTTCCCTGCAGCTGTAAGCTTGGTTTATACCTCCCAATCATAATTCCCTGCAGATGTAAACTTGTATTATACCTCCCAATCATAGTTCCCTGCAGCTGTAAACTTGGTTTATACCTCCCAATCATAGTTCCCATGCAGCTGTAAACTTGTATTATACCTCCCAATCATAGTTCCCTGCAGCTGTAAACTTGGTTTATACCTCCCAATCATAGTTTCCTGCAGCTGTAAACTTGTATTATACCTCCCAACCATAATTTTCTGCAGCTGTAAACTTGTTTTATACCTCCCAATCATAGTTCCCATGCAGTTGTAAACTTGTTTTTGTTAAAGCAAAATAATTTTTTTCAATTAAAAGATTATATGATAGTTCAACATTACATTTAATAACGTCTCATTCTTCGTGAGTGACTCGTAACGCCTTGGCCTTTTTCGTTTTTAGTAATTATCAAAATTACCAAGATTTTAGCATGAGATCTTGCAACCTTCTATAAATGTGTAATTTTTTTCTGGAAAAATCTAAATTTTCTTATTTGTTACAATAACAATCTCTCCTTGCTGGTCACACCTTATAAAAATAAGGATTTCTTTTAAAATGCCAGTACAATTTTAGATGAGAGAGAAAAGAATAATAAAGCTACATAATTGCGCAGATTTTATTTTAAATCTGGCACGTTTAAACTTTAGAATTATTTTATTTAGATTCCCAATTTTAGTATTTACAAGCCTTAGGTTGTGTATGAATAAACTTTTTTAGAAACCTTGAATGATAGCTGAGTTCCTAGTCAGATATTTTAATATTTAAAGCTTTATTCTTTCTATTCAGTTGAATTGATCTTTATATATTAAATTCTTATTCTTATTTTATTCTTTTTTTTCCGGGGGTTTTAAAAAATATCTGAAAAACGTTAGAAATTTCTTCTTTAATACGAACCTATTTAAAGAAAAATAGATTAGGCTAAAAGTATCTTTAAAAATGTGTCCACAAAAAAGTAAATATAAGATGATTAGAAAACTCCCATGTTTTTGGGACACCCTGCAGGGGGCTGCACCACTTTAACAAGATGTAAACACAATTTCTCTGCTATAGGTTTTAAATCTAAATATATTGACAACTATTTTCCTGTGTATTTTTAACAGTGCTGAATCAACATTTTTTTCTTTTCTTCTCCGAATATAATCAAATAATACTAATAAATATAATAATACTTATTAGAATAGCAGTGCGCAGTGCGGCACATTTGTTAATTATAAATAATGACACTAATTGTATTAGATCTATCTTTATCTGATTCATGAATAACTTTTATATTTTTTATCCAGGGCGAGCTTTGCAGCCGGAATCGCGGCGGTTAGGCGAGAACGTCACAGGAAACGAAAAGAAATGGCGAAAGATGAGATAACAGAATATGAGGAAAATCATCGCTGATATATACATTATTTACCTTCTTTTTATTGCAATCTTGAAATATACACTACTAGGCTTTTTGGGCGCTTCGCGCCTATCTTCTATTTAAATTGTAAACATGTTCTTTTTGCTTACATTTTAAAACAAGGAAGAAAAAAATTTTGCGGATTTAAAAAAAAAAAAATTCGTGGATTTTCAAGAATTTAAATTTTTCTACAAAATTAAAAACCTTTAAAACACATTTAAAAAAAATTTTATCATTCATAAACCTTCCCTGTGGTCACGTGATCTCCCACAAAAAATTTGGGCCCGATCGGTTCAGCCGTTTCGACGTTTATTGGATACAAACAAACAGACAAACAGACAGACAAGCAACATTTCTAGGCTTTTAGGGCGCTTCGCGCCCATCTTCTATTTAAACTTTTAATTGTGGCTTTATCTGTGAGCATCTTCTCTTTGTACAGTATAAAACAAAAACAAAAAAAGTTTGCGGATTTCATAATATTTTTTCGCGCATTTTCAAAATTTTATAAAAAAAAAACTTTTTAACACAAATTTTTAAAATTTCAATCATTCATAAACCTTCCCTGGGGTCCCTAGATGTCTCACAAAAATTTGGGCCCGATCGGTTCAGCCGTTTTGACGTCTATTGGATACAAACAGACAAACAAACAAACAGACAAGCCAAATTTATATATAGATTGTAATCTTGAAATATACACTATTTACCTTCTTTTTATTGCAATCTTGAAATATACACTATTTACCTTCTTTACCGGCAAATTTCTCTTCTTGTTTTGCCTTGACGACATTTTAAATCTTCATACTACCCCCCCCCCCTTGATTGGTGTATAATGGTTGATATGTGAGTATAGGAAGGGGAACCTGATCCTCTAGACTGTAATCATATCTCAGTTGTTCCTGGGCAAACCCTGAACCCGGAGCCGGAGAATACCAATCCAAAAAAAGACAAGGTAACCCCTAAGTCACACGTAATATAAAAAATATTAGAAAGATCGAAGGGACTGGAAATAAATATGCCATAGGTGATTCACAACAATACCTTTCAAACCCCCCTTTCTGTTCGCATTTTAAAGGCTTTCTCTTCCTCTAAACCTTTCTTTAATTCTCTAACAGTATTTATAAATGTGAGAACTGAACACGATGCATCCCACTCACAGATTCGTTTATGCTAATCTTTTCTTTTAAAGGGACTGTCATTGTAAATTCATGTCAACACCATTTAAAGGAGGGCAATGCCCGATTCAAAACTGTAGACTTTAAAAACTTTATCTGAATAATGAATAATGATGTGGAAAGTTTGTTGTTTTTCCAGCTTGAAAAGTGCTTAATTCTGACAATTTTTTCCACTGTTTCTGAAGCAGACATTACAAAGCCCCTTAAAAGCTTGAAAAACAACAATTTCGATAATATCTTGAATATCTTGAGCATACTTGATCAGACAAAGCTTTAAAGGGTACCGTTGCGAATCAGACAGATCCCACTCTATAAATGGAGAGTCAATTATGCCTATATCCCTTTAACAAGAGATTTAATTATGGTTGGATTTATGAAAATCTTGAATTTGCACATAAATTAACCACGACGGTTGATACTTTAATAAACCATGATCTTGATGCTTTCTGCATTCAATTTAACCTTGTTGATGCCAAATATCTATCCAGCAAAATGTTAATGTAAATATACATGTTGCCTTGTATGAAAAAGCCTTAATAGTTTGTTATTAATATCGAAGTATACAAATTTTATATTTTTAACATTCTGTTCAAAAATGAGATATTACGAACTACATGTTCAGGTTTCTTATTACAATTTGTAATGAACAAGACTTTCTTTTAAGAATTAGAACTGACTGAAATATGCACAGACGTCTTTTTAAGGGACTGTAAGCGTGATTTCAAGTAACCCTTCATGCAAAGATGACAATGCCTGATTTACACCGCGACCCTTGAAACTTTAATCTGATCAAATATGTGGAAAAGATCTTCGTTTTCTGATTCAAAAAGTGTCAATTTCTAAGATTCTTCAATGCCTCCTTTAATCAACCGGAAATGAAATAAACATTTTAAATGAACAAAAACATTGATTTTAATTTTTACTTGATCAGACAAAACTTTTAAGAGAACTGTTGTAAATTGGACATTGCAATCTTTGCATGGAGGGTCAACTGAAACTACGCTTACAGTCCCTTTAACTCACATCCTTTTTAGTAAACCCTGTATGTTTTATTCCCTCTGGTTTGTTTAGCTTGTGAAAGTGAAACCTCGAATACAGCCTGAGATCCGACCTTTTACTAAAGAGTCACTGGAGAAGATAAATCTCAGGAAATTTATCAAGATTAAACCTTGAATCAATCAGCTGATTAAATACTATCATTAGAGATAATTACAGTTAGTCACGGATACATAGAATTTAAATTTTCTCTATTCTAAAGTTAAAGCCTATATGCTACCAAAAACGACACTAGAAAAAGTGAGGCTAGCTAAATGACACTAAAAAATTACTCGAGCATAAATGACGCTAGAAAAACGACATTAGCATAAATGACACTAGAAAAAATGACATTCGCATCAACGTCGTATACCAAAACTGACTGTCATGGACTATGACACAAGTATTTTTTAATTCGGCTTATTGAGCTGACATCCCTACAATTTTATTTCAGCTTGATGAGCTGACATCCTTACAATTTTTTTAAGCACCCCGTGAAGAAACTCAGGACCGAGTAAACTAGAACCAATGAAGGCTTTTTGTTTTTGTTCACCCTGTAAAGATATCAAAATCTGCGAAACAGAAGATCTTTTATTTTGTTTCACCCTGTAAGGTATTGCAAAAGAAAACTAGAAAACACATAGAAGATCTTTTGTATTTTATATCCGGCCCAGGTTACATGGGATGCTGGAAACAAAACATAGATTAAATAAATCTCAAAATACAGAATAACTGATTATCCGAAAATAATTCTAGATTAATATTTACTAAATATCGCTTTATTCGTTGTTACAATCTCAAATTTTCTGATACCTACATCTTTGCAACCTGGCAAAGACTCAATATCATTCTGCTATAATTAATTGCTCTTTCAAATCATTAAAAGTTGGATTAAATAGTTGAAACTTTCCTAAGTACTCCATCCTTGTTTGGTAGTTTTCCATGATACAAGAATGATATGAAACATGTTCTATTCTGCTGCACCTGTTTTTGTATTTGTTCCATGACACATGCATAAGGCATCATGTTATATACTGCTCCCTCTGTGTTTGTATTTGTTTCATAATGCGAATATAAAGATACAGATTCTTTCCTGCTCCATCTGTGTTTGTATTTGTTTCATGATACATCGAGATAAGGCTTCATTTTTTATACTTCTTCCTCTGTGTTTGCATATATTCATATATTCATATTCATTTGCATATATATTTGCATATATATACTGATATAAAGGTACAGGGACTATCCTGATCCATCTGTGTTTGTATGTGTTCTAAGATGCACGGATATAAAAATACAGGTTCTATCCTGCTCCCTCTGTGTTTTTATGTGTTCTATGATACACGGCAATTAGAATACAGGTTCTATCCTGCTTCCTCTGAGTTTGTATGCTTTCTATGATATACGGAAATTAGAATACAGGTTCTATTCTGCTTCCTCTGTATTTGTATGTGTTCAATGATCTACGGAAATTAGAATACAGGTTCTATTCTGCTTCCTCTGTATTTGTATGTGTTCAATGATATACGGAAATTAGAATACAGGTTCTATTCTGCTCCCTCTGTATTTGTATGCGTTCTATGATACACGGAAATAAGAATACAGGTTCGGTAATGGTCTTCCTTCCTTCTCCGAGCTCTCGGGCATAAATCTGAGTTTAGCTCCCCAACTCTCCTAGAGAAGAGGCACGGTACACAAACCTTTAGCTCCTAGTTCTTCCTTTTATTAATATATAAATCATGGTTTAACATCAACAAGTCAGGATCTAGAAACGCATTAGAACAAAACTGATTTACTACTTCTAGAACAAATAAATTATAGAATTTTGTTCTTTTTGCGAATAAGGTCTTAGAAAATATTAATTCATTATAACAGCTAGAACCGGTGTCCTGCATGGAGCGCTCTCTTGCATGGGGCGAACCGACCCCTGAAGTTTTAACCATCTTAACACAAGGGTAGACACAAAAAGCAATTTTAAAACATAAAAAGTTATTAGTTGACATATATTAAATACGCATTTAGTTCTTAAATGTATTTTAAAGGGGGTATAGGCAAAAAAGGGTATTTCCTCTTGTAAGTCGTCTTCCTTTCAAATCACCAAACAATTAATATTTATTCGAGACATAAATAATTTTAATGTGATATTCAAATCAAAATAAATTAATAAATAACCATGTCATAACCATTCTTTTTATGTCTAACATTGTGTTGAAATTGCTTAAAATTGTAGGGGGAGTCCGCTCCATGCAAGAGTCCTCTCCATGCATGACACCAGATATAATAATCTGTTTTGTAAAAATTATTCAGAAGAGGCTCAGGAAATTAATTGAATAGTTAAATGGTAAAATGTAACGTCATTAAAAATGCGCAAATTTAACAAAAAAAAGAACTCCGCGAAATGCAATTTTCAAAGAAAAGGGAGGCTTGAAGAGCAAAGGTTAACAGCTAAAATTATTACTAGAAAAGCTAGGGGATAGAAGCACCCGGAAAGGCTAGTTTATGTTTATTTTAAAATGAGATGAAAGAATTTCAAAGGAGTCTCAAAGAATGCTGCATTGAGATACTTAAAACAAGTAGAAAAGACTGTTTAGAACCAAAATGTAATACGGATTTAATAAAACGTTTTCACGTTTTAAGTAATATCCATGTTTCCTGTTGTGTTATTTAAAACATAAACTATCTTGTGTCGAAAGGAATCCCGCAACCTGACTTTTTATATCTCTAACTATAGAATAACTTAGTTCCAATACAAAGTTTGAAATTTCAAAGATTTACTCTCAGGTTGCAAACATAAAAAGGCAAGATAATTAGGATTGATGAGAATAATCACTTACCTCATTTGTGATAAAAGTTGCGTAAACCAAGTAGTAAAATATGAATTCCTGCTATACATAGTTATAATCCTGAGCCTAATATAATAAGAGTTAAATGGATTCTAATCTTGATAAAACCATCAGAACTGCGAACCTAATCCGAGATTATGGTTTCCTACCTAAACGAGCTCCGCACCTGGAGGATGGAGCAGAACTCCCGGGAAAGTTCGAACCCTTCCCTTCATGTTTACTCGGCAAACCAGTAGAGGAAATAGATACTGTCGTTTATGAAAAGGTAAAACCTGTTTAAATTAAGTAAAATGCAGGTAATATTGATATCTTTTATTTTTGTAATCAATACTCCTCTCATTCAAGAGCTATTAAGAAGAACACAACTGTTTTAAATTTCTAATATAATAATCATAGAGAATAGAATATATAGAGAGGAATTTACTAGAATTGTACTGTTTCCATACTGCAGGTGTACTTCACATATTTATGCTATATAACCTGTTGGGCCCTGGAATATCATTTTATAGAAAATCTAAAATTATTGTTAAAAGAAAACCAAATTATGAAATAGGCTGGTTTCATAATTGACCAATGATCATTTTACATAGACTCTATGCCTTCCACTTTACAAACGATGATTTTCCGTTATAACTATAAATCAAATGATGTTTTTATTCACCTAATTCATTATAAAGTTTATTTAACAGCTTAAAAAATTCGAAATTGAAATGAATAGTCTAGGGAACATACTGCATAAATGTACTCTGCTGCGCGCATATAATTTGTGAACATTTACATGATTTGTACACTTTGAACTCCCTTTCAGGCTGAAAGGGGCTGAAAAAATTCATACCGAGAGATTCTTTTAATTCCTCTCTATATATTCTATTCTCTGTGATAATAATACTTTTCTTATACTTTATCTTATACATAAAATCAAATCTATTTCTTTGCAACCTGTTGCCGTAAAGCTTTGATATTTCAAACTTAGGCTATTTAATCCAAGAGAAATCTAAGTTTGAAATAAATTGCGAAATAGAAATTAAAGAAAGAATTGAAAATAATAACTGTTAAAAAATCAGGAGGAGTAAGTAAAATGGTAAAAATGACATTTTTACAATCCATTAACCGTTCATTCAAAATTTTATACATAATTTCTAATAACTAACTTTTTAAATATGCTTCTATATCAGAATTTTGCTCTCATAATAAAATAGTACATGAATGTATCATTTACTCTCAGACAAATTAAAATGGATGGAAATTTAAACCCCCAAGGGATTCAATAACAAACCAGAGGGCTAAAGAACGGATTACTCGTAACAAACTCATAATGTGTTATCCCTATGTCGTTGCAACCTGACGTTGCAAGCCTTTGATATTTAAACTTTAACTATTCAAGTTTTCATAGTTTGAAACACAAATATCTACAACGGATAATAAACATAGAGTGTGTACTGTGTGGCGAGTTAACAGTTTTTTTACTGAAAGTTATTTTGATTGTTATTTTCACAATAAAGCTCTTCGCTCATATATGTATGTATATTTATATGTTAGCTATCTCTAATATAACGGCTGGACCAAATTGGCAGAAACTGTTTGAGGGATCTGATGGGTATCCCGGGGTAACAAAAGGCTTGAAAAAATAAAATGTTTATAATAAAATTTTTTTCTTCAAAATTCGATTTTTTAAAAATTCCACGGCAACAGCAAAGGGCACTTCAGCTATTGAATATTATTTCACAAAGTATTTCTAAATATATGTTTAGACCTTCTGTGTTGTATCTCGAAGATTTCAGAAACCCTTTATACAAAGGTTTTCAGCCACTAACTCTCTATTCATTTTTCCTCCCTGGAACTGCGTAAGTATTTTTATATATTATATTTATCTTAATTATCTATTCGACAGTATTGTCTAGAATTAAATTAAATTCGTAAATCAAATTTCTAAAGACCATTACTGTCCATTTGTCTGCAAAAATATAAGAAACTAGTTTGGGAACACAGCACTGCCCAGGTTACTAAAAGTTACTCGCGCCATTTACCCGCACTTAAACGATTTTACCGGGAAACTAAATTTTCGCTATTAAAGTCTACTGCAGGCAAATGAGGAAATGCAAAGAAATAAGAATAAATGTTCATGGATTAAGCTTTTAAAAGCTCCAAAATAAAAGTTTCCACTGTAAATGCCGATTTTAACAGATGATGACGATTAGATCTATCTTATACTAAAGTTCCAACACATACAGTAATACTCTATGTTCCAACATCAGACTTATCTCCAGTTTACAGAACAATAGTTGAATTATTCGATTCTAAATCTTGTATTTATAGCTCCGTGGACTGGCAATCTATGTATCCGTGAACCAGTATTTTGATTACCTTGTGATGCTCACTATTCTCGCTAACTGCGCTTTCCTCGCTATGACGGAACCCATCAACGAGGCAGAGTAAGTATTATTTCTATTTTAATGAACTGGAAATAAATTTAATGAATTTGACTCCTGGATGCTCAACTACCTATACTGCTGGTTCAAAGGAATTGAGTCTTTGCCACAAACTCTGATTTTCTAATCACTATATCTTTGGAACCAAATGTTGTAGACCTTAAATATTTCAAACTATGAATTCTTTTAAATCAAATAATCTGAGTTTTAAATATCAAAGGTTTACAAGATCGGGTTCAAGAGATATTGGGGTTTAAACATTTGATTTTGTTCCAATTACTCAATTCCTTTGAATTACCGATTCACAGTTAAAGATTCATGAGGATTGAATCTGTGATTTAAGATTTGAACTGGCGGTATAGTTAGTTCGGCGAACTCTCCTATTCATTAAATTCAGTCTTATCAAACTCTACTGAAACATGACTATAATAGTTAAACTATACAATCAGATTAAAATAAAATACTGTTTTTCTACACTGAGACCCCTGGAATAAGATTATGACTGTTACACTAAAGTTAGGATTTTAAATAGTCCAATTAACATAAAGCACAGCATTCGAGCAGTTTACATAGACGATGTTGCACTTAAAAACTTGATTTTCAAGACGTTCAAACAGACACTACAATCCACATTAATTTTTTACATATCATTCATTTATTCTACTGTCTTCTGAATTTAAATCCACAAATCCAGTTTCCTAAACATATCTTGACAAAAGGAATAGATTAAGTATGCATGGGTTCTATGAAATCTAAAACGTATAAAAGAGGCATTAAAGGAATTGTCAAAGTAATTTAAGAGAACCTTTTTAAAATTTATCTAAAAATCTAGGTTTCTTTGTAGAATGTGACAATCTGCACCGTCAGGGCTCAAATATCAATTAACCATAATCTATTCTTAATTCTTGTGTAAAACCATGTCGGAATTCTGAAATGAAGAACTTTATTTTTGTTTCTGGATTCATCAAACGCCCTTCGCAAGTCCAAAATTGAATTCTTGAATCATGAATTGGGCTAAACAAATTTAAAATACAGATTCCCGATTCAAGTACGACAGAAGATTTGAAGAGATGGACAACTACTAGTAGAGTAGGACAGCTTCAAGTAGAGTAGGTCATCCTTGAGTAGAGTAGGTCATCCTCGAGTTGAGTAGGTCATCCTCGAGTAAAGTAGGACAGCTTCAAGTAGAGAAGAACAGCTTAAAGGAGAGTGGGACAACTTTGAGTAGAGTAGGACATCTTGAAGTAGAGAAGGGCAGCTTCAAGTAGAGTAGGACAGCTTTAAGTATAGTAGGACAGCTTCAAGTAGAGTAGGACAGCTTCACAAGTAGAGTAGGACAGCTTCAAGTAGAGTAGGACAGCTTCAGTAGAGTTGGACGGCTTCCAGTAGAGAAGGACAGCTTCAAGTAGATTGGGACAGCTACAGTAGAGTTGGACAGCTTCAAGTATAGTAGGATAGGTTCGAGAAGAGTAGGATAGGTTCGAGAAGAGTAGGATAGATTCTAGTACAAAAGGACATCCTTTGATAAAATAGGACAGATTTAATGTAGAGACAAACAACAGCTATGAGTACAAGAAGACATCTTGGTTTAGATTATGGCATCTTCATTTAGATTAGGACATCTTCGAGTTGAGAAGGACATCTTCGAGTTGAGAAGGACACCTTCGAGTAGATTTGAATAACTTTGAGTTGAGTAGGAAACCTTCGAGTTGAGTAAGAAAGCTTTGAGTAGAATAAGACATCTTCGAGTAGAGTTATGCAGCTTCGAGTAGAGAAGGCCAGCTTCGAGTATAGCATGATAGTAGATAAGGACAATCCTTAATAAACAGGACAGCTTCGAATAATCTTTTAGAGCTTCGAGTCTAGATTGTAAGTGTATGCTGAGTATATCCTTGATCCTCCAACCGCCTTTAGTATTCCTGAAACAAACTGTTTGAGATAAAGAAACCAGTGTTTTCTCTTGTCTTCTCGATTCTCAATCAAGACACAAATAAACCATTTTCCTCCTTACTCCCTCAACTTTCTTCTGAACCCACCACGCGCCTTTTAACTTATTCCTTAAACTAACAAATTTAGATTTTAATTGTTGCTCTGAAAGTCGCCAATTTTATTTGCGCGGGTTTCTCTTTTTGAATTGGTACATTTTCAAAATTAATAAATGTCAACATTTTAGTCCAGGCTAAATTTTTCGAAATTGACGGTTCATTAAACTTTTTTGGGGTAAAGTTAGTTGCCACCAAATATTTTGACCCGAATGGTTCTGCCGTTTTGACGTTTATTGGATACAGGCATGCAGACAAGCCTTTATATAATATATGTAGATTACTGTATTCCTAGTTACCTCTTGGAAAAAAATCAAATATCTTTTATCATGCTACTGCCTAGAATTATTAGAATGATTTAAATGCAAAATATCAGAACCAAAAAGCCCCCCCCCCCTCCTCCTCCCCTGGAGAATAAATAAAAGGTTTTATCCAGGATTATCTAAGAATTTATCATTATCAATTTCACCAGATAATAGACTATATCTGACCTGCACTAATCTCCTCTTATCACGCAACCATCCTCAACATATTTCAGGGAGGTGGGGGGAGGGTGTTGGACGCCCCCATCCCCTCTAGATTTTTTTTGCACGAGCACTCTCATTTTTGACACCATCACTTTGAAATTTTTTTTCTTTAAAGGAAAAGTAGTTCAAAGGATTTTTAATGTATTTTTTAATGCATCGGGTAGGATACAGCCTCTACAGGACGGGTAGGGTACAGCCTCTAAAGGACTGGTAGGGTAAAGCCTCTACAGAACGGGTAGGGTACAGCCTCTACAGGACGGGTAGGATACAGCCTCTACAGGACGGGTAGGATACAGCCTCTACAGGACGGGTAGGGTACAGCCTCTACAGGACGGGTAGGATACAGTCTCTACAGGACGGGTAGGGTACAGCCTCTACAGGACGGGTAGGATACAGCCTCTACAGGACGGGTAGGGTACAGCCTCTACAGGACGGGTAGGGTACAGCCTCTACAGGACGGGTAGGATACAGCCTCTACAGGACGGGTAGGGCACAGCCTCTAAAGGACTGGTAGGGTACAGCCTCTACAGGACTAAAAAGGATGGTCCATGTACAAAAATCTAAAATAGCCCATACATTTTTTTCATTAAAGCTGCCCCGTACATAAAGCTTCATATTTCATGGTTTAAGGATAACAGTTCTTATATTCATACAAACTCCGATTTTCTAATCACTATATTTTTGCAACCCAAAGACCTTAGATCTTTTAAACTTTAAAGCTTCTTAGATTAAATAATCTAATTTGTATTGTCAAAAGTTCCAACCATCTGATTGCAAGATATAGAATCAGAAAATCTAAGCTAGCGGGAAAGACTCAAGTCTTTTGACAGATTAATCTTACAAGTTCTGCCTTAAATTTTTTTAACGTTAAATAATTTTTATTAGCTTAAGTATAGTCGGATACATCGGATAGGCTTTTCAGCTTCTACCGGTTTCAACAATACTGCATTGTATCGTATTCGCTTCTTTTATTTTTTCTTACTTATTTCTAGTTTTTGGCAAAAAAACTTGAAAGTATGACAAAGGCCAACATTAGACGCCCCACCCTTAAATAAATTTGAAAAAATATCTGAAATTGTATTCTAGTCTACTCTTTCTTTCCCTCATTCAGCTTGGCATGAAACTCATGAGACATTATAATTGCAGATAGATTTATTAATTGATATTGGTTTATTCATTTTCCACACACAGTTCAGTACAGTACAGTACAGTTCAGTACAGTACAGTGCAGTTCAGTACAGTATTATGAGCAAAATACTGTATACAATCTATAAATAATCTCCACAATATATACATAAAATTACTAGTTATATTCCTTGTTCCACACACAGTTCAGTACAGTATTATGAGCAAAATACTGTATACAATCTATAAATACTCTCCACAATATATTCATACAATTACTAGTTATATTCCTTGTTCGACGGAGCTCATATACATTGGACATATAAATATATAGGAATGATAGAGTTATTTTGGATTTTATAGTCTGGGCTTGATATATTGATAAGGTCCGCCAAACCAACGACAACAAAAGGAATTGAGTCTTTGTCACAAACTCTTAATTTATAATCCCTATTTCTTTGGAACCGAATGTCGTAAATCTTTGATATTTCAAACTTATATTATTTGATTTAACAGAATTCATAGTTTGAAATATCTAAGGTCTACGACATTGGAATCCAAAGATATAGGGTTTAGAAAAGTAGAGTTTGTGGCAAAGACTCAATTCCTTTACATTTTGAATTTAAACAAATTTTTACATTTTTTTTTCAAGTTAGATTTATATTGTTAATCTTTGATGTGTTGATTTGAGATTGTAAACCTTTCTAGAACCAGATTCGAGTGAATATGGTATTATTCATTTTACTCCTCTTTTGTAATACATACAGACAGAAAACATGACAGCTGAGAGATAACTCAAAGATTTGGCTTTGATCTTTAAAATTATTTGCAGCATTTAGCCAAGACCCCCTAATCGGGATTAAGATCAAATCTTGAAGGTAAAAATAACAAAATTAGTTTCCAACGCTGTTTCTCAAATGTCATGTTTTGAGGGACACCCTGTAGATCCTGGATAGAGTTATTATACTAGGGCAGAAGGGTAGGAACAGAGATTGGTTGAGTTGAGATTTGAAAATTAGAGAACTAGAGTAAACACTGGGAGGAGGAGGAGGGGGCTGTGAATTTAGAGGGATCGGAGTTGGTGGATGTATTGGGGGATGGGTGGAGATGGGGCCATTGGCTTGGGGGAGGGGGGGGAAGACAAATGGAAAGAAAAGAAGATCTAAAGAAACATGGAAAATTTGAAAGAATGAGTTATAGTAGAGTAGAGAGAGTGCAGGCCTATGGAGGGGGGGGGGGCATGCTATCATCCTGATAGATGATTCAAACCTATATAGGCATGTATTGTATACATAAAAACTAATTAATG